CTGGCACCCCACAGGGATGTGTCCTCAGTCCCATACTCTACACCCTGTTTACCCATGACCGTGTCGCCTCCCACAAAGACAACATCATCATCGCAGACCACACTGCAGTGATAGGACACATCACTGGCAGGGACGAAGCAGCCTACAGGAGGGAGGTGGGCGGGCTGGTGTCATGGTGCATTAACACCACACAGCTGGTCAAGAAGGCCCAACAGCAGCTGTACTTCCTGAGGATGCTGAGGAGGTTTGGCTTGTCACCTAGGATCCTCAGCAACTTCTACAGCTGCATCGTCGAGAGCATCTTGACCAGCTGCATCACTCTCTGGTACGGCAGCACTACTGCTATAGACCGCAAGTGCCTGCAGAGAGTGGTAAAGACTGTTGAGAAGACCACTAGGACTCCACTGCCCTCTCTGCAGAGCATTTACCACCACAGGGTGCGTAGGAAAGCTGCCTCCATCCTCAAAGACCCCACCCACCCCCAGTACGGGTTGTTCACACCCCTACCCTCAGGCCAGAAGTTCAGAAGTGTGAAATGCAGGACCTCTAGATTGAAAAACTCTTTCTTTCCAGCTGCCATCAGACTCCTAAACGGCTGACAGGAGTTTACACTCAGGGATTACTTCATGTAATTGCACCTGTTCTGTTTACACGCTCAGTTGCACACTATCACACATACAGCCTCGATGTAGCATACACTATCTTTTACTGTGTTCTCATTGCTGCTGACTATTGCACATACAGCTCTGATCTGGTGGTGCTGTTGTCTGCCAAGGCTCTGACGACAGCTGCTGCCAAGACATGCCTGCAGTCATAGGAATCTATTTGAGACATCGCTGTGAATTCACATCATTCCTTCATGCTCCACCGTGTCTCTACTACTCCACTCCTTCAATACTCAGGTTCACCCAAGAAATACTTCAAAATGAATTTTACTTAGAAGAGGCACTCGGTTGCACGGAATAAAAGCCAACGTAAAAGTAACAATTTTTTTTTATGATCCAAGGAAAAAGAAATACCGTCACTACCACAGTACACTACAACATACTATTACAATACAAAGTGACTCACTCACTGTGGCGGCACAACAGAGTTACTAAATACCAAGCATTTAACAAATTGTTGTTTCACTATTGGCAGAGGTGTCTGCCTTTTATAAACCCAAGTTATGTCTTTTTTGTACAGACACTCTGGACTGACTTAAAGATAAAAACACTACCACACTATTGTACCTAATCACTACAACTTCCACATAGTCTCTCAAATAACACCTGACACACTTAATCCCTTGGTGTTGTGACGGTGTCCTCAGTCCCTAAACATTTTTAACGAAAACATCACACTGTGGTAAACACTAATGTCCCAATTCTTTTGGAACGTGCTGCAGGAATCACAACATGAGGTATCACATAAAATAATGTGCTGCTGTATTGTTTTCAATGTAATATAGGACACAGATGATTTACAAATGAATATTTTCAGTTTTAATTTTGACTTTACAAACCATCCCAACTTTTTTTGATCTGGGGTTGTATGTTTGTGGTTTTTGGGATCCTTGTACTAACATATTGTAGGATGCTGACCCCTGCAATGGATGGATGGATGCTCCCCTCCCCCACCGGCAGTGTTGTGTAAAGCTGCTGGATAACCTGTTGTGAAACTTGGATCTGTATTAACTGGTCCAGGAGATTTTACTTGTTGCGTAATCCTGAGTCTGCAGTCTGAGGATGAGTCTGCAAGCCGGTGCTGTCGGCTGGTGTCTGAATGTCTCACCAAAGTGTGTCCTTACAGATTCACATATGCACAAATGTGTATTTGTGACTACATATGTCCACACACACACACACACACACACACACACACATTAAGTCAATCAGTCTAGTTCCGACTATGTAACTCTATTCTTTGGCACAGTTGTCTCTAAGTAAACCAGTGGAAAGGCAATCAGTTCCTGTACCAAAGCGTAGGATGAGAAGCAGCACACAACATAAAACCATGAGCTCCTATAAATAAAACTGACCAATTACAGAATGATCTGCCATCCAGCATTCATCTAGATATAATCCAACTAGTGACATATTTACAAGTCCTAGTAACTACATGTATTTCCTAGTAGGACTTTAAAATAACCAAAAGTGCTACTGAAAACCCAGTCACTAAAATGTGACATGACACTTTTTGTCTGGTTTTGATGAAGTAGAGCAAGGACATATTTTGGCCTAGCAAACATGAAGCCTGAGGTCTGTGTTAAAATGGTCAGGACTGATCAGCTTCACCATGCTGCGCTTATTAAAATGGCAGCAGCATGCCGACCCAAGGCTTTGTAGATTTAACTATATGACCATCAGTTATACTGAGAAATTATTTATTTTCTTCAACTTGAAAAATGACACATTACATTTGATTTAGCTCAGAAAAAAAAATCCCATTTGTAGTTTGTATGGTAAGGTGTGCATTCATTTCACATGCAACAAATATTAAATACAAACAGAAGGTAAATTGCTGTGCTTATAAATTATAGCCTTATTCTTAGTACCCCAGTCTGACACTTGAAAATATATTTTTTCATTGCTCTGAAACTGTGACCGCGTCTCCCTTATCTTCTGCACAGTAGCTTTGAATTGTGCAGCTTTTGTTGGTTGCCTGCAATGCTGGCATACAGAGACTGTTTCTGTTCAACATAATTAAGTTATTTTACCCTAAGTATTTCCAATGCAATGGTAAAAAGAGCAGGGCAGCCAAAGCACATAAATGGCTTTACGAGGCATTAACAGTCAGAATTATATTTCACTGTGCTTTCTCACGCCAGCATTCTCAGGCTCTGCATCTCTTGCTTTCAGTCCAGGGTAAAACCATCCCTGTGGATCTCTGTCAAAAGTGCAGAGACCCATGGGGATGCTATCTACTGCAGAACAACTGAGAACACAGATTCCCAGCAGTGGTATGGAAATGAGGAGCGATGACGTCGGTGGGGTACAGTGAGTCAGCAGGTAACAACTCGCCTTTGGATTGTAGGACCGCACTGCAAAACATGGCAATCAGATTTTACCAGTCACACTGAATCACACCAAATACATCACTATTCAAAACAGAATTTAAAAATCCCAATACACCTACACAATGCCGATGCACACTGAATGACACAGACATAATCCTCATAACAGCCTGATACTCGATCACTTTCCGCCAAGGAGGTTATGTTTTTTCTGCAGCATTTTTCTGTTGTTTTCTTTCACAGCATAACTCAAAAACTTATAAATGCTTTTTAAATACATTTTTTGAAGAGGGAGAGTTTGGTCCACAGAATAATCTATTACATTTGATCCGGATCATCATCCCAATCCACAAAATCTTTATGGCAATATGGGGAAACTGAGCTGCCTCCTTGGAGGTTTGAGCTCTGAGTGCTGTCTAATTCTCAATTACATCTGTATATCACATCACACTATCAAATGATATGCTTTGAGTTTTATCGTGATCACTTTTCACCATATTCACTGGCCTGTTAGTATTATATTGTTACTGCACCCAGAAAGAAATAAGCAGCGCTGCAGTGAAGCAGAGCAAGTTTTTAATATAGGTACAAAGATCGAATCTTCATAAAGCAACATGCCAGATGTTCTAACTCCAGTGGCTACAGTCCAAACACTACCAAATATATGACTGGGAGCACTGCCAATGCTCAATATACATCATAAATATAATTTGAAACAAAATGACATATAAATCAGAGTTTACTTGTAACGTGTGTGATTTAACACCCTTTATTTAGAAGAAGTGGTGAAAGCACGTTGTATGTAAAACTAACAATTCATAGAAAAGTCAGATGACCAGTTTGGATCAAGCATAATACCTGTAACAGTTACACAAAGCTTTCAATACAGCAAATTTATGTATGAAATTGGACAAAATGGATTTTGGATTTCTCAAGGTTTGACAAGCTGTGTTATGCAGATAAAGACAAAAATGGAGTGGATGTGATTAACAGGGCCAAAATCTATTCTGCAGAGTCACAAGACTACAGTGCCTGTCATTTGTAAAGCCAAATGTGTTTCAGTGTGTGACAGAGTCACTGATATTAATATCACCAAACTGACATGTCAGGTTATATTTGAAATGTACGTGGCTTAACTTTGCACATCATTTTCAAGTCCCAGTCCTACTGTATGTGATGCTGCTGACACTCCTGAAATAACAGAAGAGCACAGACAACAGCAACATCTTGAGAGACTGTTTTCCAATTATATATGCAGAAACTTCGGTGATATTTGATCAGCCCTATCAATTTATTTAGTACAAAAACCCATTACTTTGAGCTGGCAGACCACAACCTCATCAGCACTGTCAAGCTTGATAAACTGTGTCACCTCTACCATGTCGCCGGGTTGGGGAAATTCAAGAGCTATGTACTGCATTCATGTCTTTCAAATGTACCTCTTCATGAATTTATGGTACTTTCATACTGCTCATTATAGGAGGGAAAGCAGATGATTCAGACGTTGTCAGTGAAAGACAGCATCTGGCTCCATTGTCCACTCCTTCCTCTTCCTAATCTTCTTAACAACCAGTTGCCTGATTTTCCTTGCTTCACAATGCTGCCAGTCTGCTGAGACCACACCAGATCAGTGAACCAGCCTCCATTCATCCCTGCAAAACAATGGCAATGTATACACAGTATATAGACAGTGTTCATAGATGTGTCAGACTGCTTTTTTTAAAGACAGGCATTAATTCAGCTAAGACATTTCATTTCCAAAACATGCATATTTTAATTTGAATGTGTCACCTTTACACTAAGAATAACACCTGCACTGTATTCATCAACCTAAAAACAAACACAGCAAGGGCTTGGGGTTGCAAGCGAGAGCAGACGTCTTTACTGCTCCTCTTGTCTGTTCTACGATTTTTCACATCTTCTACATTTTCAAGTCTTTGAACAAATTCTACAACTATTAAAATGCCTCCAAGAGGGAAAAGAGCTAATAAATCAGAAGCGAACGAGGATGTTGAGGCAGAAGAGGATTATATTTCAG